ATATATGTGTATTTAATAAACCTCTTCTTTGTTTCCTCCACCTAGTTTTCTGTTCCTTTGATACTCTTTCTAACAATGACCTTCCTAATTCTCAGCTATTTTGAACAAAGGCAACATTACAACAGTAATTTACTTAAGTGGTATCAATGGCGAAATTTATATTTTGGGAAATGACATTACTCACTTGAGTTTATCAATAATTAACTTATTTTGGCACTAAAACCAAGACTTAAGATTAATGAACCATTCTAAACTCTTCTGTGAAGAAGTGACCAAATAGGCAGACAGACAAAATGTTTTCATTTATTCTCTCTAGATATATCTTTAATATTTTGTTTAAGTTTTCTAGTAAAACAAAAATCAGTATTTTTCTTAATGCCATGTCCTTTTTGGGTGTAGACTCACATGATGGCTCCAAGTTGCAATGCCCTGGTAAACCATTTCAGCTGTCAGACTAAACTCATATGAGTGGGTGGTGTTAACATGGCACCACTGGGCAAAGGATGTTGATGCGTGTCACTGCCCAGGATGGAAGTGTTCCTCAGATGATCTACAATGACCATGTGTGTACAACCCAGGTGAGCCACCTAGTTGGAAGACGTTGACTGTGGTCTAACCTGGAGAGGGATGGGCTCCACCAGGTTAAAACACCCATGATATGATAAGCACATAAAGAAACCATTCATGGAGACTCAGGTTCTGACACACAACCATGACAGATAGTTCTCTATAGATTCCTTTTCTTTATTATCTGTGAATTGCCATACATCCTTGGGCGGGATAAGGGAGAGGTTTCATATTGCCTCCTTCTCAGTTTTGAATTCAGTGTTTGTATTCTCCTAGACTATCTCTACTTACACTCATGCCATGTTGAAAAACCAGTTCCTGTATGATCCCCAAAGTTAAGCAATGTCAAGTCTGGCCAGTACCTAGATGGGTGAGCACTTGGGAATATGATATGGTATATGCTTGGATGTGTGGATGGTGTAATGGATAATGACTTGGAATTGTTAATTGGAGAGTCAAGTTCTGATTCCAGTTGTGTTTGTTATATTCACTTATGCACAAATACTCTTGGGAAAAGTATGAATCCACCTCTTCTCCTGCAGCTATGGGTTAATTAGTAAGACTTGTAGCACAAAATTATTATTATCTTTAAAAAACATACAACCAACCAAAATCCTAAACTGAGTGTCCTCCAAGTCTAATGATTTTTCTTTAATGCTGTAGCCTTTCAGGACAGGCAGTTATGGCTCTCCATAGATTCCTGTTCTTTATTACCAATGAATTGCCATAGATTCTTGGGAATAATTTTGAATTCAATGTTGTCCTTTTCCATCTAAGGCTAGGGAGCCTAGTATACTTTGTTATTACATTAATAGATGTGTGCTGGGAAAAAAAATAGATTTATGTCTTCACAAGTACATTTGCAAGAAAGTGAATTCAGCAGACTAGGCCCAAATTTGGGAAGTAGAAGGAAATGAAACAATATCTAATGATACAGCCCCAAACTGGTTTGAACATTTTAAGAGTGGTCCCTTGAAATAAAGCAAAAATAATCAATTTCAATTACGATATTTTTAAAACACAAGATAGAGAAGACTCCAACCACCAGCTCTCAAAAAAATCCTGAAGATTCTGGGATCATTAAAAGAAATAATATGTAGAGCCTGACATAAGCTCCAGAAAATATGTACAATCTCATGAGAGCTTCATTATGAATTTGAAAACTAAAATGCCTTTTGTCAAGTAGATATCTTTCACTGGGAAACCATGTTGAGAATGAAGCAATTCAAATAAATCATTTTCTTTGCCTTCTATCAGCATGGCTGATGTTAACCTTCAGGAAAGGGACTTGTTGCACTTTCTCAGGCTAACATTCTCAGTTGACATGAAGTGGAAAGACTATATTGAATCTATTGTTAGGTCAGCTGCTAAGAAACTTGGTTTACTGTGTCATGTCAGATAATTTTTCTCTCCAGAATCTATCTTAGATATCTATAAATCTACCATTCACCCATGCTTAGAATATTTCTGCCATATATATTCTGGTAGCCCTGCTATTTATCTTGAACTCCTTGATAAAATCCAGAGCAGAATCATTAGTATCAGTCCTGATCTTTCGTACTAAAATGACAATTAGGTTTCATCATTTTACTATTGAAATAGCTAGATGTAAACCATAAGTTCTATTTGCATGTTTCCAGATTCTTGCTTTCCTGTCACCTACGCACTTCAAAAAGTTTAGATACAACATCAATCTCTATCTTCTGTCTTCCTGAATTCTGTTCTGATATTGTCTTTTCTCTTTACTAATGTTTTCTTCTCTTCTTTCACTCTCCCTAACTACTTGTGTCACATTGGTATTATTGCCTTGCTTGGGGAGAAAATAAAAAAATAAAAACTAATAAGTTATTAACGGTTTGATTCATCCCTTTGTAAATCAGCATATGCCAATTTGGTTTGGTTCTCACTGAAATGTCATTTTTTAATGTCAGAATTATTCATCTACATTTATATGATAACACAATGCTACATAATTACAAAATAACTAACCAATGTTGAAATTTTTCCACAAGAAACACTGAAAATGCATTGTAATATTGAATAAATTTGTAGTATCATATATTAAATTGTTTCCCATGCAATCATTTATACATTATGATTTGTGCAATTTATATGAAATTTAAAATGCTTCAAGCTTTGCTCTCTGTCAATAGTCTGACAGTTTAGAGCTAAAATATCTTTCTAAATGAAAAAGATTCTTCTTCGATATACTATGTCCCTTCAGAGCATTGGTGGTCATAGCTCCTCACAATTTCCTGTCCTTTGTAGTAGCGCTTAGTAAATTTTATCTTTTTTTTTTAATCTCTCCTAAACCTTGTTCTGTTATCCATTTACTCAAGTTCTCTACAGAGGTTATACATTGTTTTTCTTCTGTCCCTCTTGCCTTCAATCTGTCCTGTAAGTATAAGATTTTCCAAGCCCTCTTTCATCATTATGTGCCCTACAAATTTTAACTATCTCTTCCTGAAGTTAAGTATAAGTTTCTTTTTCGTTTCGATTAAAACTTTGGCGTTACTCACATGATTGGTCCATGATATTTTCAGCATCCTCCTGTAGAACCACATTTCTGTTGCTTCAAGTCTCTTCTTCATTTGTATGAAAATTGTCCAGTATTCACTGCCATATATAAGGACTGCTCTTACATAACAGTGCAGTACTCTTTTCTTTGTTTCTAACAAAATTTTTCTGTTTGAGGGCATCAATTGCTATGATATTACATCTTTGGATTTCAGTGTCACACTTGCCATCCTCTATTAAAACACTTCCCTGATATATAAATTCTTGTACTTGTTTCATTTTGATATTTCCAATTTATAATTTTCATGTTGGGCTTATACTTTTGCTAACAACCATGCATTATATCTTCTTGCAATAGATGTTTAGTTCTTTCTTCTTGCTTTTTTTCGCTACATTTTGTAGGAGTTATTGTATTAGGTTGTCACATATGCAATGACACCCTTTGTAGGAAATGAATAAAATGCTTCAGAAATGTTAAATAACTAATTTATTTAGTTGAAATAGGCACTATTTTGATGAATGACTGATCTCCAATGTACCTCTAAATTCTTGATCCTATCTTTAAAAAGATTATCATCCTTTGATGTGATAAACAATTCAAATGCTTTGATTACCTCTTCCTTATTGGTAAATATTTCATTGCATATGAAAAGTTCAAAATGTCATAATATCATAAGTGATAATCAGTAGGAGAGATATCAGGTCAATATGGAGGATGAGGCAAAATTTCATAATTCAAGCTATGCAGCTTTTGGACAATTGATTGAGAAGTATGCAGGCATGTATTGTTGTGCAGTGAAATTGGGCCATCTCTATTCAAAGATTTAGGATGTTTCTTTTACAATTTTTCATGCATACACTCAATTTCTCCACAATGTGAGGCTGCTGTTATTGTTTTCCCTTGAGGCAATAATGAATAACCCCTTTGAAAGACCACCATACAGGAACTATTAACTTTTTAGGGTGCAGTGGAAGTTTTGGGTATTGTTTTGGTGATTCACTTGCATCTAACAACTAGCCTACTCTCTTTCTGTTGTCAAAGAGTATCCATTTCTCATTGCATGTAATGATTCGATGAAAAAATGGTTCTTTTTCTCAGTTTGTTAATCATCAGTTGACATTGTTTCATTGTAATCACTTTCACTGGTCTTATGTGTAACAATATATTGAAGAAAAAATATGTGGAAAGAAAAAGAGTCAGGAATGATTGTTTTATATACTTAGGAGGTTACTTTGTTAGACGACTGGATCAACAATCAAACAAAAAATGCATCATAATAGTTTTCTTTCTATGCCTGCTATCAACACTATGTCATTTGCACACTTCTTTTTTCTGTGCCGTGGGTGGTCATGGCTCTCTATAACGTCTTATCCCTCATGGCTCTTAGTAGTGTTTTTTTCTTTGCCAAGCCTCCTGCCCTCAGTTCCACTATAAGCTCATCAGCTAGATGACCCAATGTTATCTCTCTTACCCTTGATATGAGTTGAGTCTTTCCAAACCCTCCTTCCTTATTATATGTTCAAGAACTCAGCATTAGAAAGCAATACACCATTTAGTAGAGTCAAGAATTATTTTAATAAAACAGTTGTATAAATTTAAACATACAGTAACACCAACTATTTAGTCAATGAATGCCAACTATTGACAAGAAGAAGGCCAGAGGACATAGCATCCAAAACATGATAATAACATCAAAGATGAGGACAAGAGTCTGAATGTAAACAATGTAAAGAAACCATTTTTTGCCTTCTGTTCACTTAACTGGAAACAGTACTTGTTTAAATCAATCATCTAGTTCATATTCATTACAGTATTTATTATCTACCATTTTTACATTGGTGCAGCCAAATCATATATTATAAAATACTTCGGTGATAATGTTTCTCCAAGATTTCCTGCTTACAGCCTCATCATATTGAAACACTGGTTCCCATATGATCACCAAAATTAAGCAACATCAAGCCTGGTTAGTGCCTAGATGGGTGACCACTTGCGAATACTAGATGTTGTAAGCTTGGATGTGTGGGCGGTGTAATGTTTAATGGCTTGAATTGTTAATCAGAGGGATGAGTTCCAATTCCTGTTTGGTTCATTATATTCATTTATGTGCAAATACTCTTGGGAAAGGCATAAATCCACTTCTTCTTCCCCTAGCTATGGGTTAATTATTAAGACTTGTCTTGCTAAACCATTATTATCTCCCACCCCACAAATTTGTACAATCTAAAAATATTTTCTGGCTTTAAACAACCTGTAAAATGTTGATAAACTCTACAGTTTATCAACAATCAGTTAATCAAATACTGATTAGCTGCACAGGCATGTTTTTAGATTTATTTACATTCTCTGGAATATAAATATATAGAAATTACCATGGCAACAAAGTGAGGGATCAGTTTATGTATTGCTTTTCTTTTATTAAACTTTTGCTCTATAACTCTGTGCAAGAATTTCTTAGGCTTTCAAATAATTTTGAAATCAGAATCATTTTTATAAAAGTTCTAATGAGAACAGGGATAAAAAAAAATTACTTGAAAAACATCTAACTCAGGGCTATATTTTTGAAGGAATAAGTTTAAGATAGCTAACTAGCTGTGAACAATATCAACAGTTATGAGTAGAAATAAGCATGTATTTCAGTATTGTAGCCATTGCAAAGGAAAAATGTTTTGCCGTTATGACAGTAGAAAGAAATAAATGGCATAATATTGCAAAAAGCATTCATACTTTATAATGTCTTGGATGTCACAAGAAAGATAAGGCTACTTCCTTTGATATTTTAAGAACTTTTATTTTAATATAAGAAATTCTTAAAATGTTATCAGAAACTGAAAGCAGCAACACCATATTTCCAGTTGATAGCTTTGCCTTTCATAAGAAACAAAAAAAAGTGCTTGATAACTATGTAATATCAATCCTCCTATATGGCAGTGAATGCAGATCAATTTACTAACAGTGGAAAAAGAGACTTGAGGCAACAGAGATGCTGAGAAGGATGTAGAGAATACCATAGACAGAGCATGTGATCAATGAGGAAGTTTTAAGGAAAAGGGAAACAAAAAAGACACTTATACTTAGAATAAGAGATAAATAGTTGACATTTCTGGAATACATAATGGGAAAAGAACGTTTAGAGAATGTGACACACAAAGAATATACTGAAAGCAAAAGAGGCAGAGAGTAACAGTGAATAACATGTTTAATAAATTTGTGTGCATGGGTGGCAGAATAGGGACTTGGAAGGAGAGTCAGGAGATAAACATTGGTCAGAGCTACAAAGAATATGAAGTTGTAGAGATCCATGACTGCCCTCAATCTAAAGGGACACAGCACATAAAGAAAGAAGAAGACTATACACTTGAGACTTGGCAATAAATACATTGTTGTACTGACCCATAACTTGCCAGTTATGTTTTCTATTCATTACTGTAAATATTGCTGTTGTATGGGCTCCAAAGATAGCACTTAAGTCTCCAGTATCTTGTGTTTTTAATAATGAATGCGGATACAATATTGACATCAAGTGTACCATTTTGCACTTTTCATTCCTTTTGATGGGTTAGAAAGGCTTTTACTCACTCTCTCACATTTCAAGTTGAATTTTCTGGTATGTTTTTCATATATTTTCCGTTTCTCTGACATTTCTTTTCCGTTTTTATTTCTTTAATATTCTTATTTTTTTGCTTCTCTCTTCCATTGTTCAATCCTTTATTTTTTATTATTTTTCCTTTTAAATTTTGACCATTTTTTCATTGTCTTTTTATCATTTTTCCATCTTCTTTTTATCCATTTTCTATGTTTTTTATCCATTTTTCATCTTCTTTTATCTATTTTCTGTCTTCTTTTTATTCATTTTTCATCTTCTTTTATCCATTTTTCAATCTTCACTTTATCCATTTTCCATCTTTTTATTATTTTCCATCTTTTTTTATCCATTTTCCATCTTCATTTTATCATTTTCCCTCTTTTTTTCATCCATTTTTCCATTTTCTTTTTATCTATTGTTTTTATCTATTATCTTTTTATAATTTTTCTGTCTTTTTATCCTTTCCATCTTCTTTTTATCTTTTGTCTTCTTTTATAATTTTTCCATCTTCTTTTTATACTTTTTCTGTCTTCTTTTTATCCTTTTCCCATTTTCTTGCTTTTTCATTGCTCTTTTTGTTTTAACAATCCTCTCATTTTCTTTTCTTTTCCCTTTATTCTCACTTTTATTCCATCTTTAATACTGAGTATAATGATAAACTACATGCAGTAGCATGTCTCCTGATCAGGATGTTTTTGAACCACTACTTAATTGCTGTTGTTCCCAGGTCCACCCTGATGTTGGGTGGTAGCACCTGTTACGGTCCCAACTATGGACAAATAGTGAATTCTCCAAACAAAACAAAACCCTATTAAAGCATAAAAATATATTTTTATAGTAAAAATACCAGCAATACGTATTTATATAAAAAATTACCAACAATATTTATCTATAGTAAAATCACTAGTAATACATCAATCAACACTTTCATGATATTAATCCATATAATATCCTATAATTTCTTAAATCAAATTGTATTAAAAAATATAACTTCAACAACACTACAACATAAAACACAAGTACCACTGCCTCTAGTAACTATGTTCACACAAACATGTATATGCACAAAAAAGGAATATTAACTACCATGTATTCAACTGTGAAAGCAGAATAACATATATTTTTATTACTTCAAAACACCCAAGAAAATTAAATTTTGGCATTAAATGACCCATAAGGTGTTGATGTACTGTTAAACAAATCAAATCGTTCCATCTTTTCTTTTTGACCTTACTTGTTCATATTTATTTATTTTGTTTCTTGATTTTCTTTCATGCTTTTCTTGCCTTACTGCAGTATCATGTTTTTTTTTTAATCTTTCCTTTGTCTAATTTATTTTCAGCTTTATTTGAATTTATTTTCATTCTATAAATTTTCTTTCATCAACAAGCAAATTTCTTTTTCTTCTCTTAACTTCTCTTCTTTTTCTTTCTTTTGTTTTACCTTATATTATTTCTTAATTTTCATGATACTATTTTTCATTCTTTTGTTTATTTTTGCCTTTTTTCATTCCTGTTCTAGCCATTCTTAATTTCAATCATTTCTACCATTTCTTCTTTCCATTTTCATACTTTCACCTCCAACTGTTTTAATTTCATTCATCGCTTCTTCCATTTTTACGTTATATATTTTTAGTTTATTCTTCATCCCTCAAGTCAATAATATTCCAGAAATATTGTACAATTTACCTTAATGTTATTATTTTCGCAAACTGAGCCAACTTCAGAATGTGCCAAATGATCTGCCAGGATTTCTGTTAATTCAAGCCAAGAATCTTACCTTAAAATAAAGATATTTTATAATAAATAGTTTGGATGTCATTGGAAATCTTCAAATGTTTTGTCACTACATCAGAGTTTAGTGATTCAGGATACTAGTTTTTAAAATTATTTTTATCCCTTAATATTTCTTATAGATAAGCTAGACATATGATCCCATATGCAGTCTTAAAATAAATCTCTAATGATAAAAGTATTGAAATGCCAATAATTATATATGTATTTTTAACCCAATTTATTTTGCTGACTATCTTTGTAGAGTTGAAGTAACTTCAAATCTTGCAGCAGAAAGGTGCTACTTTATAAGGTATGCAGTTATTTAAGAATTGTGACAGGGGTTAAGAACTTTCAAAGGAAACAAATTCAACACTTTCAGAAGAAATGACGTCAACATGCAAAATATTTTACACCTTTTTATGTAAAGAGCAAAAGAAGAGAAAGAAAATATTACATTTATGTGTATACAGATAGATCAACAAAAAATAGGTAGAAAAATATTTATGGGATTAGTGTCATGTGTGTGTGTGTGTGTGTGTGTGAGAGAGATTTCCTTGTGGTTTGCTTGAAATTAAGTAGTCAGTTTGTCAGGAAAAAAGCAATCTCCTATGCAGTGATATGCAGAGGTTTGGTGATGTTTTGTTTAAGAATTGTGACAGGGGTTAAGAACTTTCAGAGGAAACAAATTCAACACTTCCAGAAGAAATGACTTCAACATGGAGGATTTTACGCCTTTTTATATAAAGAACAAAACAGCTCACAAAAGAAGAGAAAGATAATATTATATATATGTGTATACAGCTGGATCAATAAAGAAAGGTAGAAACATATTTATAGGATTAGCAGTGTGTGTGTGTGTGTGTGTGAGAGAGAGAGAGAGAGAGAGAGAGAGAGAGAGAGAGAGAGAAATGTCCTTGTGGTTTGCTTGAAATTAAGTAGTCAGTTTGCCAGGGAAAAGCAATCTCCTATGCAGTGGCATGCAGATGTTTGGTGATGCCCAGGACCAACTCTTTTATACTATGTCCCTAAGACTTAAGTAAGGGAGTCTATAAGGCCTAGTACTGAGAAATGTGAGAAAGGAAGACATATGCAAAATATGTAAAAAGAGATGAAATGTGAAATAAACACTAATCTCATTAAATATGAACTAAATTTTTATTTCACTCTTTGATTTGGATGGCCTCCAGATATGGATTTCCTGGGCCGTCACAATCTTTGCCCTCCTTCTGCAACACTACTGCTCCTATGGCAGAAACAAGTTCTGATATTGTCACAACTACACCCTGGAGCAAAAAATGAAAAGAGGTTTTATTATCCCTTCCTTTTATATTCCTGAATAGAATGCCAAGAAAACAAGATGGGGTAATCTCACATCTTAGCGGATTCAATGAAGAATAGTGAATTTCATTCTATTTTACTTTATACAATTTGAATATTTATTTGCTTTGTATTCACAAAATGGATTTAGGTTTTATGCACAGTCCTCTGATAACTATAGGCATGGCACATATTTAACTACTTTATTTTGTGAATTTACACACAACAGTTTCTGTAACTAAATAGTCATTACATAAGCCAACTTTTTCAAAATATTGTTTGGAGAAGCCATGTTCATTGATTATCTTATTGTCAAATAGAAGTGGATAAATCTG